AATCTGGTCCCTTGCCTCTTAGTATCATTGTATTTTATGTTCTTGCTAGAGTTTAAATCGTGTGAGTCACCAACCTTTGTCCGTGACTGGAGGTATACCCAATGCACATGAACAATAATATTCAGCTTTCACAAAGATGAGAATATTTCATTAGTAAGTACAGCACATAAAATCATAAGGGCTTTGGTGAATTTCTTGCTTCATGATTTTGGCTTGCTTGTATACATAATTTTCTTCATGTCTCATTTGGTTTGACTTGATGGGATCTGCATAAAACACTCAAGTTCTATCATCACTGTGATTTTGTTTTTATTTCACTGCAGACACAGCAACAGCAGTAATCGGCTCAAAACAGAATGCTTTGCTTGGCTGATTGATGTAGTTGTGTTAGTCAGGTGTGAAAAGAATATTAAGCTATTTTCTGATCCATGTTATAATGTTGTTTCCTCATCTTACAGTACCTGGAGTTGTATTGTGTTCACACATGTTTAACTCACAAATCTGCATATTTAGGCTGTGCTCTTTTCTCAAACAGAAAACACTCTATTCCACCTTGTGATGTTATGTGGTGCAGGAAGTGCAATGTGTTTTTAAACTCCATACACCTTCACTAAAATCATTTGGATAATTTTAACCTGAAAACTACCACTACATGATATGAAAAGTACCACTACATGATATCAAAAGGTGGAGCAGAGCATTTTGAGCTATAGGGACGTAGACAAACTAATAATAGGATTACTCAAACATGTGTGAATGAAAAAAAAAAACTTAACTCCATGTATGTTTTTGAGGAGGTAACAACATTCTAATATAGCTTAAAGAGTCAACTTTGCATAATATAGGACATTTAATGAAGACTATGTACATTTCGTGCATCACCTGCTTGTCTCCGTGGAGATGTTATTGCTTTGCCTGAAAGGTTCCACAGTATATGGCATTAGACTTTTGTATAGCAGGTGTTTTATTGCTAACAAAACACATCAAAAAACATGCATTCTTACTGTGGGCGAGGTCTCCTCTTCACAGTTTTTACCATTCTTGGCAACATAATGATATCTCCATGAAGTTCACCTGTCTTAAGCTTCTGCAAAGAATGTATATATGAAACATAGCTATAGTGAACTACACATTCCAGTCCACTCTGGAGTGCTCAGGTTGAAGTCAGCACTTGTCTTGAGTGTGTGCGATTGTTCACGTCAAGCTGACGCGAAAGGCCAGATGGACTCAGCATGCTCCTCTCTCTTAGAGCCACTCACTGTCAAATGCATGAGAGGCAGGTATATACACATCACTGCACATAATTTAATGCATCCACCTACGCACATTCGGGTACTGCCGGTTACCCACAGAAAAATACACCATACTGCCTCATTAGACAGTAACAGAACGTTTTCCAGAATCAATTCAAAGATTTAATTTCATGTTGCCTTGGAAAGTTATGTCTCTTCTTTGCTTAGGTCGGCAAAGTTGCTGAGTTGAAGTTGACTTACATTACAGCAGCAGTTACTCAAATATTAAATCTTTTATTGACTTCTTATTCTCCTTCGTAGGTCTCACTGGTGGGATACTTAAATGGCAAACTTCATTTTGTAAACGGCTCAAAATGCTATACTGATTTCAGTTATCATTATTTCAATTAAAATTAAAAAGCAAATAAAAATTTTCACAGCAAAAAAATGTTTTCTCTATAATTGCCATGCATTTGTCTTAGTTCTGATGACCAATGTAATGTAATATGACCAATGTAAATAGTCTGTTTGAAAGGTCAAATTCTGTCCTATTTAAGTGATTTTTTTTTTTTTTTTCAGTATCAAAACATTTTCAAATGTCTGGTTTCAGTAGTTTTAGTATTGATCTGAGTATTGATTTTTGACAACTGCTAGATAAGTATATTAAAGCCTATAGTTTGTTCTTTTAATAATATATATAATGGTGTTCATTCTGTAATAATAATTTTTAGAAATTATGTGTAACATTGAAGGCTGAGGTAGTGTTCATAGCATTTGTAAGGGTTGACTTGCTCTCTCACTCTCACAACATTTGATTTGGAGATTGCTGTATGATTAATTATCTCGCACCAAAATTAAAATCTAAAATGTACTTCCTTTTTTTTCATTCTGTGAACGCGCTAAAGAAATGGTGCAAAAACAACATATTCCCTTGCAGTCTTCTCCTCTACATTTATTACACTGTTGCCCACTCACTTCCACCCAACTTGGTGCGGCAGAATTACTTTTCATAAAGCGTTAGTGGGTGTGTACCACATCGCTCTGCTGTTCTCTTCTCCATCTTTCATTCACTCAAATATGCACCTTCTCCTTTTGTTTGGTCTTTGTTACTTGCATGTTTGAGTGGGTCTGTTTAAGTGTTTTTAATATACAAGTAACTCTAGGAAAGTCATCACAAATAGAAACATGAACTGTTGGCATGTACAGATACTAAATTTACTTAATGACCACTTATTTATTTTAGCATTTTTGTACAGTTGTACAGCCATTGTTGTTGACTGCAGCGCTTATATGATCCAGCAAATATACACTAATATACACTAATATATATTAACGGTACTTTATGGGACTTTTCTAGTGGGGGGGACTGCCATCTGCTCGTCTTCATAAAGAGGTGCCAGCATCAGGCCAAGTTACAGGTTTACAGAAGTGACCCCACTCACAGTAATGTAATAGTAACATATGTTTGTAAGGTATTGTACATTTATGCAATTGAATGCAAAACAGATATTCTTAATGACATTCTGTTGAACCTTCCAGGCAAAGCAATAACATTTCTATTGAGACAAACAAGTGACCGCCCCCACCCCTGTCCAGAAAAGTTACACAATGCATCTCAAAGTCCACATTAAGTTACTATAAACTAATTTTCAGCTTCAAGGCGCAAAGTTTTATGACAGCTAAGTCCAGTGTTGTCAAAGAGATTTGCTGACCACCATGATTTACCCATGGCTGAATATTTACTGTACACAGGTTATATTTTAGGAGCATTTGTGGTTCACTTTACCATGGCGGTATTCACTGTTTATTCTGGATATGTAGAGAGGAAGGAGAAACATAATAGGTACTTTTTCTAAGAATTTTATAAGTCTGTCAGATCCTATTGTTTATTTAGTGTCTGTGCTTCCTAAGCAAACCAAGGCCTCTTCTTTCCCTTTGGCTGTTTCAGCCAGCCATCTCATATGACATGTATCCTCCATCTACCTGACAGTTAACTTCAGCATTAGTTTACTTATAAATATATAAAATAACTAACTCAACATTTATGGATATTTCAGTCTTGTCACTTGGCATATTTGTCAAGGTCATCCTATGTTCCAGACCATAAACAAATGAAGAGTTTAAAATAACTCTGACTCCATATTACCTCCAGATTTCAACATCTTATGTTTTAAATTCTCCTCAAAACGTGCCCTTGACACAGGTTCAGTGAGAGCTGACTTTCATGACTTTCATTTTGACAAACGAGTTTAAAGTCCTGAAGCTGATGCTTTGCCTTTTCTGCACGCTGCAGGAAAGTACATTGCCTTCATGTTTTATTTATGACATATTTATCAACAGCAATCCTCTCCATACTTTAGTGGCTGGAGGTTGAAAAAGCTCCTAACTGTGGACTTGACTTGAACCAAGAAATGGTTAGTGTGAAATATTACTATAAATCTGCTATAAGAATCATACTGTGTCCCACCTCGCATCACAAGTTCACACTAAGCCTTTAAGCTCCACAAGGAAATGACTAAGAAGGACATTCTCAAAGGTCACTGTCCTACAAGCACAGTAACAGCAATGAAGACTGTGTGAGTGCTGTCTATTTACATTTGATCTATGTCAGTTTAACTCAGAGTGACACTGGTGCGGCTGCCCTAGTAGAGGTTGTCGTAGGACAGTGTTTTTTGAGGACAACAAGGCAGGCGTAGGAAATTATAAAGTGGGGCGCTGTTTCCATTTTCACCTGAATATGACATTCCTGCATCGCCTGCGGCATCGATTCATGTGCTGTTAAAAAGAAAAGATGTGTGAGGACGCCCAGAGGCACAGCGCAGGTCTTCCCCTCCACGTTGTCTGCATCTAAACCATTAAAGGCTAGAACTGAGATTGTCTTCTTATTAAAACATCAGCATGATAAAGTCAATGAGTTGGCATGATTGACATATGAAGCTCTAGATTTGCTTAACTATATCATGTTGCTGCAAAGGCGTGTGGTTAAGGATTTGTAAAGATCTTAAACGGAAGTACTGAACATAAGGTTTTGGCATATGGCCCAGTGAGATTTAAAGGGCAGGGGCTTTTTGATATTCAGTATGTCCCCTAGTGCAGCGTTATACAATGTAATGAAGAGGGCAGCTTCTACTTACTGCTAAGTCTAACACCTTGTTCCGAATATATGATTAGACTTTACACTTTACTTGATCTAGGAAATGTGTTAACTTCTTTGGAAATAGAAAGTTGTCAGATAACACGAGGAATCTGTATTTGCGTAAAGAAGAATGTTTTCTAAATAAACCATCTGTTTCCAAATCCTATACCCATTATGTTGAAAAATGACAGGGACAAAACATGTGCTAGAACAGGTGTAAAGCAGGTGTAAAGATGGGCCCCATCAGATGTGTCAACAATACTCAATGTCTGGTTTCAAATGGAGCCAACATGGACACAGTTTTCCTCTTTATTTTGAAATGCTCTTGCACTATCACTCTAATAATAACAGCTGTCAATGAATATTTTATGTTTTAATTATAAGCATGTTTAGCCATTGGTTTGAGATTATGACCGAGTCCTCGGCTACAAACAAAATCTCAAGGTATGTCAAAAATGCTGTCCTTTGAAGAGGTAAGTAAATATATGTAATTTGTATTTAGAAATATTTAGATTTAGAGTTAAATCTTTCATCTTTTGTGTTGCGATGACTAAAAATAAAATGTTTTCTGTTGAATGAACAAAACGATCCTTCACAATAATGTTTTAAAATGACTCTTAGAGCTTTTTTCTTTGTGTAACTACTATGTTACGCCATTACACCATTAGCAACCTTAATGTTTGCTTCCACTCCTACTGAGATGAAAGAAGTACTAAAGCGATGTGCCTGTTTTTCTTTTTCTCTTCACTAGACTTGAATGCAGCACAAAAGCGAGCGAGGGAGTGAGGGGGAGAGAGAGCACACAGCAACAGTGCAGGCGAGCCCCACTGAACAGCAGCGTATCCTCTTTCATACACACACACACACACACACACACTGTACGCTCCACATCCCACACACAAATGCCTGAGCGCTCATACACATGCAGCCCAACAACCGCTACCACCTCGACACTACGACTGCACTGGCTTCATTCTGAGCTCGGCGATCCTGCTACCCGCTTACCACACAAGAGAGCAGAGAAGAGACATCATCTAAAAGACTACATATCACCCATGGAGGCGCGCGGCAGGGGGAGGGCAGGTGAGTGAACGCTGCCCGCTACAGCTGCTGCTACGGCTGCCTGTGTCACTGCTATCAAGAGAGAGAGGGGAAAGAAGGAGGATCAGCTTTTCGGGAGGATATAACCGTATGTGAGACCGAGCCAAGCCGACAGTGAGCGGAGCACCACTGGGCAGATGTGGAAGAGACAACAACCAAGTTCACATTGTGGGTAAGCATCAACAGCACCCACTTTTTACCATATGCCCTAAAAACTGGTGCTCTTGAGAACTGGTTCATAGTTTAGCTTGTTTTATCTATATTTTTGTTAGATATTTGAGGCAAGTGACACGAAAAAGCTAACATACAGAATGGTAAATTACTGAGGTACAGATTCGAACTCGCAACATTTTGTAGCCGTATGTTTCATGTTGTATGAACTGAAACACATTTAAATTTAGGTTTAATTGATCATGGGTTAGCTTCAGTCTTGTATTTCCTTGAATTCACTTTGGTCCCGTCCTGTTGCCTTCATCATAGTGACAGGTTAAGTCTCTCCTCTCAGTCCGGTGTAGTGTGATCGATTTGCCCACTAACTCAGATTGACACAGTTTCTCATTATCTAACTCACAGCAGTGGTGCTTTTATATTGCCTTGTCTCAAAATGGTGCGTCTTCATGTAAGCACACAGACAGACAGGTCTTCAGAGTATACACGTCTAGAGCCACTTCTCTATTAGGTTTTAATGGTCTAAACGTGTAGCAGGCTTTGATCGACCCCTGCAGTCATATTCACCGTGAAAAGCTTGCTGTCACATCTAAGTGTCTTCACTCAGCTCGCGGCATTGTCTTCGGCTTTAAAATGAATTTCCTTTGTGCATTAATTGCCTCCCTTTTGCAGGCGTTCTAGGCTGTATATTATTATTAAACCCTTTGTTCTGTAAATCAAAAGAAAATTTTAGCATTACTTGAGTTTTCTGCTGTAAATTTTTTGTTCCACTGAGCGCTGGAGGAGCAGGTTGTACTTTCTGTGCCTATTCACATCAGTTCATAGTAAACAAAATCTGTCACTTACAATTGTTGAGTGTGTACAGTGGTTTAAGGATATTGTTCAAAAGACTAAACAGCTTACATTTTTATGTCCTTATAAAACCAGCAATCTCTATTTGATCAAAGACTCATGTACTAAAACACAACACTGCTCTGCCTTGTGGTAATCTGAAAAGTGTACATTGTGCTATTTTGTGCCCCTGGAGCTATGGCTTTGGAATTTTCTTTTTGAAGCTTTGGAGGAGAGGGTGATGGTTATGTTATTTCTTCGCCTGTGATATTACTGGTTAGGGTGGAGGATATTATTTTACAAGTCACTTTTCTATTCTAATATTTTCTTCTAATATTGATAGTTGGTTGGTCTGTAGGTTTGGTGTGACCAGGATAGTCATGATTATCAAGTAATATCCCTTAATATCCCTAAAATGCCTAAAAAAGGATAAAGATCAAAGCCATGTGTAGGCTCTGTATCATTTTCATTAAAATAATAGTGTTGCTCCAATGTGGAGGATTTGACCAAAGCTTTCTGGTGGCTTCCAGTGGTGTTTAATGATGCACTGCACATTTGAGGACTTGAGCATTCCTGAAGTGTGATTCACACTTTAATTTTTCATGTGTATCTTATCAAATTTACATAAACTTTAATGTTCAGTGAGTAATAAGTGGCCAAGCTGTATGTGCTAATTGTGTCTTGCTGCATACGCCTGTCTCTCTCGCTGTTGAAAAATCAAAAGACGAGCACTGTACTGGCACAACAGCAATTATACAACAGCACTTAATGGTGCCCGTGGTGCCATTTATTCTCCCAATTGGACAGATTTATGTGTCAGTAATGAAATGTCTGCTGACAGGTCTCAGCAGCCCTCAAAGTGCATTGTTGAATTGGTCCTGTTAGCTGTGTCCATTACCGTGCCTACACTTACCTTCTCATTTTGATCCTTTTTGTGCCACATAAAACTGTCAACTGCGCTCAATAGTGACATTGCAGTGGCTCAGAGCTGCCAATGCCTGCTCTCATTGTTTTCATCTCCAGGGTATTTATGAGTGTTGTAAAGCAAAGGATGCATCTACAGTACTGTCAGCAAGAGGAGGGCACAGAGAGAGGACAGTGCGGAGATGAAGAGAGAGGAGCCATGTGAATGTGCTTCAGATAGTTATGGACCCATGCTGGTAAATCCACTGAAAATGACCAGCTGGAATATCATTGATCATTGCCCCATGTGCTCGGGCTCATTTATAAAACATTAAAATGCTATTTCAGATGTTCAGATTGTCTTACAACCTGAAGTAAAGCTTCTTAAGTATCTTTATGATTAATAATGGTGAACATTGGTGGAAATGCTTTGGACAACTTTGTGTGTCATTTTTAAATGTTGGTTTTAGTTGGGGGTTGTATTTTTTATTTAATATTATAGCTAAAATGAGAGCTTTTACTGCAACAACCTGGCAGCATCAAAGAAAAAATAAAACAAAAAAGACTGAGGCATGTTTATGGACGTTGGCTCAAAGTTTAATTGGTTCATAATTTCAGTGCTTTTATGTCTTTATTCTTTTTTCTAATACTAGCCATAAATTACTGATTTTATTTTTATCTGGTGAAGCTATGATGCGCTGGCACTCTGGCTGTTATTGTAGGACCATTTATTGAGTCTAATGGAATTACTCTTTTTCTTTTACGTCTCTTGAATAGATTTTTTAAAAGTAACACAGAAGCCGAAGGAATACATCAGACTAACTACTGAAGCTGAGTGCAAATAACATTTTCTTTTTTCTGTATTTTCTCAGTGCCTAAAATAAACATACGTTTTAAATTGTCATTTAAGTTATTGGGCAGCATTTCATTATAGCATGCATGCTTAAGCAGATCTTTATGTATCTATTTATGTTTATGTTTTGAAATTGGAATGTAATGTAATGAGACACTAATAAATTCCATGTGATAAAAAGGTCTTTTGATTTTGATGGTGATGAGAGACATAAAGGAAGCTGGAGAAGTGAAGAGGCATTTTTTTGTGCTTTGGATGCTGCATATTTTATGGTTTCCGGATGAGGGAATGCATGATTAGATAGCCACGAGGTTACATAAGCACAGAGAGGGAAGATAAGGAATCTCTTGAGTGGAAGTAGGCAGAGCAGCTCCTTTAAGAGATAAACACTATTCTGGTGTCTCCAAACACTACAGCTGTCTCAGTAATGCTGATTGATAGCTGATACAAGGTCTAATTTACACAATGGAGTACGATTGCGTCTGTGTCTTTAATCAATTTGCCAGGTTAACTGACTTTTATGATAGATGGAGGACCTGTATTTTAGCAGTTTATATTCTTGCCCCTCTTTCCGGCTCATTTCATTTCATATATTCCCACTGCTGCTGGCACTGACTCTGACTGGCCAGCCATAAAAACAGTCCTCTCAATATGGATCATGGCAAAGATTGCTGTATAAAATGCTTTTCTGGCCTCCTGCCTGCATGGTATTATTGGAATACATCTGTTTAGCTGGTTAGATTACCAAAGCATACGTTCATATACTTTTTACATTATACTTATTACTACTTGTGATATTTACGTGTAACCTCATCTTCATTTTTATGCAGCACCATACCACTAATTTCACTGATAAAGGCAATAAAACTGATTCTGATTCAGATTACTAGGCACGAGGTCTCCATTTTGCATGAACAATTTAAGTGCTTTCCTTATTTATTATTATTATTACTTGATGTAGGTGCAGACAGCCGCAGACCTGTTCAAATTTTAAAATAGTTCTTGAACAGAATTACCTGCTGCACCACAGTGTGTGCTAAATAATTTCTCAAAGGCTCTTCTCAACTTGGGCAAGAAGCACCAATTAGCACAAGTATTACAAATCGTAATATGGAAATATAATGAATTATTGAGTGACTTCTGAACACTGCATCTTAATTCTACAAATGTAATTTAAATAATGGATTAGGTAAAGAAAGCAGACTGCGGTTGATGTCTGTGTCTGTTTGATTGGTATTTGCTGTATGCAGTAGCAGCTGAACATGGCAGATAAACTGTAAAACATCCTGCCCCACTGCTTTGAGCCAGCTGTGTCCTATAGTTGTAATCATATACAGTCTCTCGGAGGCACATGGCACCGATGTAATAATCTCTCTTTAATTATCTCATTAGACTTAAATTAAATTAACCCACGTCTAGGCTATATGCACTCCAGGCATTGAGGTAAGATACAGCTGTTCAATGCATTACTCTTTTGTTTAAATTTTTCTTGCTCTCTTTCTATCCATCCATCCATTTTCTTCTCCTTATCCAGGGTTGGGTTGCGGGGGCAACAGTCTAAGGAGGGCCTCCCAGACTTCCCTCTCCACACACACGCTCTCTTTCTATTTATTTTTAATTAATTCTTTACAATAAGATATGTATTGAAGCTTTAATTCACCATTGGGAGATATAGTATGAGATAAGTCCAGATATGGGAACTATAACTTCGAAACTGTGGGATCAGATCAGTACCTCAGAAAAATGATTTTTGGCTTAAGGTTTGTCCATATGATTTAAATCTGCCTTTTAACTGTAAGTACAACCCACCTTTTCTAATTGATTTTAAAGCACTTGTCAATCAAAATTTGTTATCTATCCCCAAAGCTACTAATGACTTCTCCTCTAATGAGAAGTTTACGTGTTGTGGTTCATTGCACTGAATGCAGTGTGAGAGAGTTAAGGGGCTAGTTCATTTATCACTCTTCAAATCACTCCTGTTAACGCTGTGTTAGATTGACCGAGGATGCAAACTATTCAAGCTTCTCTGGTCGGCAACAGTGATCGACACTAATGTGATTATTGGAGAAAAAATAAACTCTCCCCTCCTCTCCTCACATGAGATTTACATCCATGGCAGCAGTGGGGGTTACTTGTTTATTGTTATTTATCCCAACACTCTGGTTCATTAAGAAATTAGTCTGTGAACCTTATGAACCCTTTTGAAATATCCAGCTCAGTTGAATTTCTTCCTTTTTGCATCATAAAAAAAATAAAAAAATTGTGTGCTCTGCTGTGTGATTCAAAAAGCTGTTTTGATAATATGACTCTGTCTTGCTAACATGTGCTATGCTCATGTGGTCCGCGGAACTGGGAAAAATGTTTTTTCGAAATGAAAGATGCACATGAACACTGGCACAAGTCAGAAAAACAGTCTG